ACTCTCTACACTTCTGAGAGGGCCTCAAAATCTCTATCTCTATCTCTATCTCTATCTCTATCTCTATCTCTATCTGTAATCTCTACCTGTGACTTAGACTGAAGGTCATGGTCTCACCATCCGTAGGGAAGCTCAGCTGGCCTAGAACATGTCTTTTCAGAATCCCAGGCAGTAAAACTTTCTGGTTGGTTAGCAGGGAAAAGGGAGGAAGCAAAACCGAGAGAAAGCCACACTTCACTAGCCTTAAACCTGTGGTGGAAGATGGGCTTGCGACTTGGGCTGGGTTTCCTGCTCGGCCAGGGACTTTGGGCAACATTTTCAATCTCTCTGAGCTTCTTCCATCATCTCTAAAATGGAGAGAATATTAAATGGGGGTGAATGATATACACCTCATGGAGTTGTAACTATTTAATGAGATGATGTATGTTGAGCACATACTGGGTGATGGTAGCTGTTAGTAATGGAAATTATGAACCCCGCCACCCGGACACCTCACTGGTAAAAGGGCCCTCCCCTTCTGTGAGGCCTGGGATGGGTCACCATCTGTGTATGTCTCACTGACGTTGCTTCCGCTTCGCGTCTGAGTTATTGGTCACCCCAGGAGCCTAAGGCTTCCCCCCCTTTTTGTCTGCTTCCCCTGGAGGTGCGTTGAGATGAGGAATGGTGCCTGGGGTAAGGGTCACCAGAGGGACAATGATACCTCAGCAGAGTCTCCTCCTCCATGAGGTCTGCAGGGCTTGCCTCGATCCTTCATCCCACACACATTCATCCAACGCCCTCTGTGGTCGGGCTGGGCATGCAGAGGCGACCAAAGCACATACTGGCGTGGCCTCCTGGAGGTCGCAGCCTGGGGGGTGGGAGGTGTCAGATAGTGGAAGAGCACAGTCAGCTTGCAGAGGGTTGGGAGATGAACTTGGACGGTGCGTGTAGCATCTGACTCGGAGTTGTCAGCACTCGTGTCCCTTCCTCCCTTATGACCCCGGGTCCCTCTCCAGTTCCCGGTCACCCACGGGGAACGATGACAAAACAGCCGCCATCCTCCGACAGGACTGAACGCGTCCCGCACACCAAGGCAGAAAGCACGGGGTGGGGATGGGGACATGGTCACACCGTCAGGGCTCTGGCAGCTTCCGCAAGACCCGGAGGGCAAAAGCCACCCAAGCATCACCTCCCCCGACAGGCATGCTTCGGGGCAGGGGGTCCGATCGGGAGGAGCTGGAGCCCGGACCTGTGTTCTCCTCATCTGCGTGGGGCTGAGGGCGGCCAGGGTGTGGATGGGCACGGATGCCAGAGTCCCGTGTCCCAGAGTAATCTGGGATGTGGACACAGAGGCTCCAACGCGACCCTGAAATAGCAGTGCTGAGGGGCTCAGGAGCCAAAGAGGCGAGAAGGAAGGAGCGGGCTGGCCGGCTGGCCACATGCCTGCCCGGCCCTCGCCCCCAGGAGGTGCCAGCGAGGGTTCCTCCTCCTCCTGACACAGCCTGAGAGAGGAGTTGTCACTCGACCTTGGGGCACATTCCAGAATGAGGCCACAGCCAAAAATAGGGCCCAGGAGCCTGCCACCTATCCTGCCTGCATTACTCACACCTCCCTGCAGGACTCGCTTCCTTGGGGAGGTGGGAGGAGACAGAATCAGGAAACGGAGTTGGGAAAAGGAGGGGACCCCAGTGTAGCTTCTGCACGGCCTTGGGGGGCAGCACACCGCAGGCCCGGGCCCCAGGACCCGCCAGTGAATCCGCCCATCCCGAGCTCGGTGAGCTGGGCGCACAGGCCTCCTGGCAGTGATGCGGGCCTGAGGTCAGTGCCAACACGGAGGAGGACAAGACTTGTGGGGAGAGTTTACAGAGCCGGGGAGCAGCGAGGCTTCCCCAGGAGCTGTCTGGGAGGAGGAGGAGGCACCAGGCTGATGTTTTGCTCAGGAATCTGGGGCGCGACGGCTTGTGTGCGATAGAAATACCACGTCACGTGGCAAGGTCGTCAGACAGCCCTGGGTGCTGAGTGTGCGGCTGACAGGAGGCGGGCTCTTTGGCGACCTTTGGATCCCCATGGGATTCCACACTGCCCAGCCCAGCCCAGTGTGTGTGTGTGTGTGTGTGTGTGTGTGTGTGTGACACGCTGGGAGAAATATCATAACATGGGCATTCAGAACTCTGAAGTCCGACTGCCTAGTTTCTGATCTCGGCTCTCTTTCCCCCTCAGCAGCTGGGTGATCTTGGGCAAGTTTCTTATCCCCTGAGCCTCAGTTTCCCCACCTACCAAATAGCCCCCGCCTCAGACCGTTGTGATGGAGATGGCAAGACAGGATGTCCAGTCCGGTCGCACAGTGAGTGCCCACTCCATGTTGATGTTATAACAGGACAGCTGGACACAGGGCGTTCTCCCAGGCGAAGGAAATCACCACGTGGCTGTGCATTCATTCTGTCCCTCCCGGGTGCCGCCCCGGGTCCCTGCTCTCTGGCCCCACTGTCCAGGGGGTGACATCAGAGTATGGAGCAGCTGGCCAGACAATGGAGCAAAGTGTCCTAGGCGGCTGCAGAGAACGAGGGTGGAAAAAGCCATGCTGTCCTGCCCCAGAGGCTTTGGGGCTGGTCTGGAGACAGCGGCGCCAGACCAGCCTCTGAAGAGGCAAACAGAGGGACTGGAACAGGGCAGGGAGGGGCACGGGGACAACAGATGCGAGGAGGGGGGGAGTAAGTGTCCACGGTAGACAGAGAAGCGGGTGAGTCTGGCCTCGGGCCTGCAGGAGAGCTCCATCCCCGTATGTCCTGGGGCCCAGGCCGGGCAAGTCTCCCAGACTGGGAGACGGGTGGGGTGCCCCCCAGGTTACCTGGCAACCAGGCCCTTTCCTGAACACCTACGGGATGCCTGTTCCTGTGTAAGGCCTCGCCGACAGAGGCCAGAGACTTAGGCATGGATTCAAGGGCAGAAAAATAAATCCGTGCTGTGGGTCCCGAGTTACAATCGATTCTAAATCAGCCCGTCCCTCGGTGCCCATGTTCTCTGAGTCCCAGCTCACCCACGAGGGGGATGGTGTGGATGTCCTTGTGAGCAGCAGACGACGGCATTCGAACCTGTGGAGCCCGAGCCCAGAAGGAAAAGGGGAGGCTGGGACCCTGGGCGCCTGCTCTTGGCCCGGGAGCCGCGGAGGGACCAGGGGCAGCCGTCTGTGCCGGGCTCCGTGTCCTAGGCTTTCCCGTCTGACCAGGTTAAAAGGGCCGAGCTCGCCAAGCGTCTCTACAGAGCTGACTCCCCTGCGTTTTACAGACGGGGAAACGGAGGCTCAGGGCCAGCGGATTCGTGTCAGAGCCCAGAGTCCGATCGAGGGGGTCTGACCGCACAGGGGGCTTTCTCACTCTGCCAGGCTGGCGTTGGAGCGTGGCAGGGGCCCCAAGTGGGGGGCAGCGGGTGGGCAGTGAGCCGGCCAGAGGCAGCTCTGCGATCGGACTCCCCTGAACCTCACATCTCCACCAGGCAGCCACAGGCTCAGCCCCCGTCGCTGTGCAGGTGTGGGAGGTGACAGGTACTGGCATTTACCCCTCAGGCTCTAAGGCCATGTGCTGTTCGTCCGGGCCCCTCGGCCTAGCAGCATGTGTAGCAGAATGTCTCCAAGTCTCTGAGGGTGAGTGAGGCAGAGTCCTCATCTCTCTCGGTCCCCAGCCTAAGCAGAGAGGGGCTGATGGCTGGTGCTCACACCATTTTTTTTTACATTTTTTTTGCTAATCCTCACCCCAGGATATTTTTTCAATTGATTTTTAGACAGAGTGGAAGAGACGGGGAGAGACACATTGATTGGTTGCCTCCCACACCTGCCCTGACTAGGGCCAGGGATGAAGCCTGCGGCCTGAGGTACGTGCCCTTGACCAGAATCGAACCCAGGACCCTTCGGTCCCTGGTCAGTGCTCTATCCATTGAGCCACCCCAGCTAGGGCTCACACGTCCTTGGTGGCTGCGTTTTATGCTCAGGATTTTCCCAGTGGCAACGCGAGCAGCTCCCATCCTCTGGCCTCTCCTCTCTCTTGGGGAGCAGCTTATCTTCTCTGTCCTGGCCCCCTGCCGCAGGGAGTTACCTCTGGGGGGGCTGGGCTGAGCCTGATTCCTCCTCGGGCCCGTGGACAGGGGACAGGTGTCTCTTGTGCTTAGCTGGCTCCCAGCTCGGGGGACAGACACGCTGTGGGGGGTGCCATGCTGCAGGCTCCTGAACACACCTTCAGGGCAAGGGAGCAGCCATGAGCAGCTGAGGCCCAAGGTGCTGCTGTCTCCGTCCTAGGAACTGAGCCACATGCTCTGAGCGCCCTGGGGCTTGGGGACCGGGCCTCGCCCTGAGGTCCCCTAGGGAGTCTCCGCTGGGCAGCCTGCCCTCCCCGCCCCATTTTGGTTTCCTCCACCTGCCTTGGTCCACCCGCCCACACCCCAAAGGAGAACACCTGGGCTGCCTCTGAGGTCTTCAGAAAGTCACCTGACCCGCAGAGCTACAGGGGCACCACCGTGAAGGAGGCTCGGAGTGCAAGGGGGGCCGATGCCAGCTGGTCTCTCCATCACCCAGGTATGGTCCGCGGGCCAGATCCCTCCTGCACGGCCCCAAGCAAATGACACCGCCCACCCCCCCGGCCCCACGCACACATTAGCGCAAATGAATCACACAGGAAGGCCTGTTCGTACTATGAGCTTTTAATTGGCTTCCTCCTACGTCTGAGGAAGAAACGGAGGCCCCACAATGAGCTTTAACGGTTTTAGAGGGGCGTGTGCAGAACGAAGGGCTGCAGAGGGACTGGGGGGCAGCGGCAGAGCTGACAGGGGCTCCAGAATCCTTCACGTGGTGGCAGGTGGCTGGACCTGCACCGGAAGTCCAGAAACGAAATCTCCAGCAAGCTGCCGCATCTCACACAAAGCCTCCCTCCAGGCCCGGCAGCTCCCGAGGCCACCACCAGGTGGGAGCATTGAGCAGCATTCCTTCCCCTCCCCAGCCCGCCTCCCTCCTCCCTCCTCACTCCTCCACCAGCCCCCTTCCCTGCCTGCTTTTCCTCTTCCTTCATTTCTCCTCCTCCCAAACCAGATCCTGGGCTTTCTACTGCTCTATTCCAAGGAAGCCAGTGGCAGATGAAAGCACCCTGTCAATGGGACCCTTTGACATCTGGGGGGCCGCCCGTGGGTCTGCTGCTGGCGGGACCCCGGGATCTGGACACTGCGTTCAGTCACTGTGAGTTCTCTGTGGTCCTAGCACCTGGCACCCAGTAAATGTTCCGAAAATGTCTGTTGCGTCGGCCTGAACCAAACTGAATTAATAAATCAACAAGCAATAACCAATCAATAAAGCCAAGGAGATGAAACACGAGAAACGTGTGTTCTGCTGGTGGCCTCAGAGACCACAGGGCCAACCTGACCGACGCGCAGGCTGACCAGCACCCAAGGGCGCCTGCCGAGCAGCCTCCGCCCCGGGAAGGTGTGTGCTGGGCTGGACCAGGCCCTGCCTCCCACTTCCCAAGACCCCGAACATGCAGTGGTCTCTGCTCATGGTGGTCGGGGGTCGGGGGAGGAGGAGGAGTTGTGGGGAATGTGTCCAGGAGTCCCTGGGCCCTCCTTCCTCTCCTCACCCACCCCTTCTGTAAACCAGCTCATTCCATGATTCCCGTGACCGCCAGGCAGCCACCATCTCTAGAGCCCCGGGGGGTGAGAGGCTGGGGGGAGGGCGGCTGTGAGACCCTTGGAGGAGGGGGATGGCCAGCACAAAGAGGGTCATGGTGCCCAAGGCGATCGGTCGTCAGGAATAATTTACAAGCGTCTACTGCCTTCTCCTTCTGTCCCCCTAAGCTAACAAAGATAGGAACCCCTTACTGAACCCGCAGACCAGAAGTTGATCTAAGGCCCTCTGGTGGCTCTGTTCTGACCGATGTCCCTCTGCCGGCCTGAGACTGTCCAATCTGACCTTGCCCAGTTTGCTAACTGA